GGTAGGGAATTCTCTTGCTTCAAATAACACACAATTGCCATGGAGTTGATTTCGACTCCCAAATAGAATGAGGGCCCGGAGTACTTGTAATGACTGTGATAATGTCTGAAACAGGTCATTAGACCTTTTCCCCAGGGTTTCTCTGGGTGGATTTGAACCACGAGCCTTGTGGTTAGTAGCTGAATGCTTAACTGCTTATGCCACCCAAGACTATTTCAAAGAAGCATAACTCTGAATATTGCATAATTTCTAGTGCCTTTCTAGGTTTCTATAGAATAGAGACATCTGCAAGCTTCCAAAATTGGAAGGCAAAAAAGAGGAAATAAATGAAATAAACTTAAAACTGAGACAGTTAATGAATGAAGGGAATACAGCCCAAGATCAAGTTTTGGTCCAGCAACAAGGTGTAGGCACTCAAGGAAAGCTCTTTTTATATATATTCACATATTTTGATTTTGTTGTTGTTAAGAATATACACACCGACACTGACACCAATGCATCCATTGGCATTTGCACAAATCGGAAACAGGAATTGCACTCTTTCAGTTGTACGACCATTCTCACTCTCCCAAGTTGTTCCTCCAACATCAGCCTCAATTCCCGCTCCTCTAAGGTTCTTGGTTAATGCTTTGAGGTGCTCTTAGCACATGGATCCTATATAGATAGTGCTTTAAAGATCATGATGCTCAGGGCAGATGTGTGTACTGGTTAAGCTAAAATATTCTTTGGTGTTAAGAAGAGCTCAGAGGATATTTTTGAATTAAAGTTTAAAAAGAGACTCATAGACTCAAAAGTGTGTGTGGGTGTGTGCGTCTGTTTATCACACTTTGTGTCTAATAGTAAAAAGTTAGAAATTGTATCTTTCTGAATCAGTAGGTGATTGAATTATCATCTTTCATATCATGTCTTATTAGGTAGCAGGTAAAAAGACAAGTGTATGTACCCTTATACAGAAAGATTTCCCAGAGCTTTTTTAGAAAGCAACTTTCAAGAAAATATGTAGTGTGATTCCATTAACATAAACACAAATAATACCTTGCATTTCTACATATATAACTTGAAATTTTACTGCCATCAACTCAATTTTGACATAACACATTGCAATGTGGTGAAGTGAAATTTCTTAATATGGCTTGAGTATTGTGTATTCTAGCCTTTATGCCTGTGGCTATCATCCCATTTTGGAAGAAGCTCTCTGTTGTATTAGTGAAGATAAAGGTAGGATGTATTCTGAGTCTCCACCTTACTAGAGGGTGACTCAAGTCGCCTTCTTCTCTTTCCTCAGGGTATTGTCTGCTGAAAGACAAAAACCACACCTGCATCAAAACTATTCTCTGTGTGAGAGAGAGCTGTATCAGAAGCAGGAAGAGAGAGAGTGCCCCTCGCATCAAGGAGGGTCAGAGAGAGAGAACTTGGCTGCTGGTTTAGGAGAGGTGTTGCTGTGGACCAATGGCATATGTTTTCTGAACCTCGGCTGTGATAACCTGTTAACTTCCCTAATAAACCCCTGTAATCATGAGTACTGTCTGCCCATTGCAATGGATGATCAAACTCAGCAGACTCGCGGACTGCTGTGGAGGGAACTGTGGGTGCTAGAACCAGAAGAAAGAAATATGGAAGGTGGAGGCTTGTCTGATCCCTGCCTAGTAGAAACCAACCTTGGGTGTTTGTAGAGGTCAATTCACTTTCTTCCCTTGTGTAGCCAGAGAAAGCCAGCTATGACCTCTGCTCCATTTTCACAGCATCTACCATGTAATTACCGCATAAAGCTTCCCAAAATCTGCGGGAAATCTCTATTTCCTTTTAATTCCATTTTTTCCAAGAACTCTTTTGAAAAACTTTGGGGACAACAGTGTGATTTGATGGAGAAAAACAAAACAGTTAAAAAAAAAAATCCCCTGTTTTGATCTGTATGCTTCTCCGTATTTGCAATTTTTTAGGGCTTTTCATTAATCCATCTAATTCTGTAATATAAACAAAATGGAACTCGTTTGTTTCTTGCTGAGCAAAATGAAGTTAATTTGAAGAGGTCTGGAAAATAGGAAAAGGAAGAAAAACAGAAAATTGTCACCAGCACAAATGTCTGAATGTTATGTTTTCCTTATCAGGCTTGGGTCTACCCCACAGAACCCAGGTGCTGGGAAACTCAGACTCTCAAACAAATCACATTAGAAGCACTAATCGGATCTGTGGCAGTCAAATCAAGACTGGCTACCCAGGAGAAACAGTAGAAACAGCAATTCAAACTCATGGGGTGGAATGTTAGCCCCCAGCAGTGAGGTTTCCCTTAGGCTTTGAACATCTCTTCATTCTCTTTAGTTGGTTCTTCCTCCAAATAATCAAGCAATTGGTTCCCAGTAGTGCCTTGCCTTCTCCAGACCCTACCATCTTATGAGAAATTGCATAGGAGTCCAAAGCAAACTTCCATTGGATTATTTAGTATGATTCCAATTAGATAAGCTTATTTATTGTTTAATCATCAGTTTGATTGAGGTCAAAATTGCTTTGGTATGTGACTCTTCTAATGTAACAACGCATTGAATTGTGGTTCAATGAAAGACTCTTTGAAAACCTGATGTTTTCTTTTCTCTTTCCTGTTCCTTAACTTAGCCCCTTCCCTACATAATATCCAAAAGAATCGTATGGCAGTAAAGCAAAGACTTAACCTGGTCCAATAAAGCCCTGGCGTTTACTGTGGAAGACTGAGACTAGTATGCATTCATCATAGTGAAATGGATTTCGACTAACGCGAAGGACACCATGACAAGCAAAACTGATAAAATGATAAGACTGTATTTTGGAAGAGGTTATATTCAATCAATTCTGACTCCAATGACATTTTTGTATGTGCTTTTGAAGTTATAAAACCCATCAGGGCACTCTCTTTGTGAATATAAATGTTTCATATTTATATTTAATGAGGATAGTTAAAGGACCTAGTGTGGGCGTGGCAGTTCGATGACCCACACAGTTTGAACCTGTCCAGAGTCATCGCAGATGAAAAGCCTGGAGAGGAGTTCCGGTAGAGATACGGGCCAGGAAACCTCATGATGAAGTTCTGCTCTGTGACCCCTGTGGCCGCCCCGAAGAGGAAACAACTTGATGGCAATTGGTTTGGTTTGACTTATGGGTATGACGTCACCAAGAGAGGCATAGTCATTAATCTCATGGCTCCTATCATTTAGTTAAGATGTACAGTGTTCCATATATTATATTCACTATGTGTATAATGTCCATTAATATGTGCTAAGTGCCAGGAGACTCAAAATTGAATTCATCAAATAAGCCACTTTCAAGTACTCAAAACATAGTAAAGGATATGATGTATAACTCTAATATATGAGTCAGGAGGCTATTGGAAAGGATATCAAAATGTGGACCAAATGCTATCATAAGAGATTTCGTTATGAGTTTCTTTAGTATTTCATGGTGTTGCTGGTGTTTGATGCCATCAAACTAGGTCGGACTCATAGTGACCTGTGCACAGCAGAATGAATTCCTGCCTGGTCCTATGCCAGCCGCACAAGTGTCATTGTGTCTGAGTCCACCGTTCCATCTCCTGCAGGATCTTCTCTGTTCCCACTTACCTCAGCTTGACAAGCATAGTGTGCTTTTCCAGGGGCTGGCCTCTCCTGATAACATGCCCACAGTCTGAGAAGAAGACCCACCATCCTTTTTTCAAAGAAGCAAGTAAGTCTGGCTTACTTCTTCCAAGAGAGCTGAGCTTGTTCTTCTGACAATCCGTGGTACCTTCAGGTTTGTTCTCCAGCACCTTGATTCTAGAGCATGGGTTCTTCTTTGGGGTTTCTTAGTCAACGTTGAAATTTCACACGCATATGAAGTGATTGAAATAGCATGGCTTGGGTCAGGCACACCTTCGTCTTCACTCTTCAATATTTTAAAAAGGTAGTGGGTCTTACTGCCCAATGCAAAGAGACATCTGATTTCTTAATTGCTGCTTCCATGAACATTGATTGTGAAACCAAAGATGAAATCCTTGACCACTTCAATCTTTTTCTGTTATTATGATGTTATTTATTGATGTGGTTTCGAGGGAGCTTCTTTACATTGAGTTGAAATACAAACTGAAAACTGTTGTCCTTGATTTTCATCAGCAAGTGCTTCAACCATTCCTCTAAACAGCAAGCAACGGTTATACTTTATACACTTATGAAACATCTTTCCCTGGACCAGCTATGCCATACTAAAATACTGAAATAGCATGTATTCACTCTGAACTGTCAACAAATAATCAATGAACAAACACTACAAGTACTATAATAATACCAATAATGAAAGATGAAAATATAAAGCAACAATTACAATATAAAACAACACATGTTAATTCGGTTCCAAAATTGAAAGGTGGCGAAGCATCATATTCTTGGGGATCCCACCCATTTCCAGCTGACAGCAAGCCATTTCTTCAAGCTCAAAGCAATTGTAGCTAACTGGCTGTGGATATCAATCTCTTATCAGACCTTTCCCTAATTCCCATCTCTGCTTGTTTCTAGTGAAAGTCCTAGGCACTAACAAGGTGGGCATATGCAAGAAGCCAAAACCAAACTCACTGCCAACTCAGAGTGCCGCTTACCAGACATGGGAGAACTATCTCTTTGGGTTTCTAAATTTTCTAAAAGCTTTATGGGAACAGGCAGCTTCATCTTTTTCCAGCTGAGCCACTGGTGGGTTTGAACTGCTGACTTTACAGATGGATGTTCCACTATTCAGAGAGCACAATAATAACTATTAGATTCAAGAATATAGGTTTTGAAAACATGGTGCCAGTGATATATGTATACTTTGCCCATTTACAAGTGGCTATTGTTAATATTAATTGACTAATGCCGCTCCCAAATATATATTTCCAGAGATATGTTAGTTCCCCACTACATTTTAAAGATATATACAACCTCTCAGAGAAATTCAGGACCCAGTACAAATCTGAGCAGGAACTGGGGAAGCAAAACTAAGTAAATGAAAGTCACAATGTCACTTACTTTATCTTTAGAGAAACTGAAGAGTTGTTTTCTTTCAGCGAAGAATTGGACAGCTATCACACTGGCAGAATGACCCCACAGGACACCCACTGGCTTTGAGACAACATAGGGATTCCAAAGACAAACCTTATTGTCAATGCCAGCAGTTGCTAATCAGAATGAGAAAGAAAAAGTCATTTTAATAACAAAGATAACCAACTACATTTTATTTTAAAAATTGTTTTACCATCTCTCTGACGATCAATCAATGTTTTCTGGGTAACATGAACGCATCCTTTCCTTCTGTCAGTGCCCAACATGTAACCAGTATAGCACTAGGGCTCCTAATAGCCACACTACAATATGTTCAATGATACATCTGTACTGCAATTTGTCATAAGGTTGTTAATATCATATGTACCAATTTATCAGTTCTCAAATTTATTTATTTAAACAGTTAATGGTAACAAACCTTCAGGTTATCAATTAAAATATGGTTCTAGTATGAGCACAATATAACTTTGCTTTTTATATCCAAAGCACTCTCCTTTAACAAAAGTGGAGTAACCTATTCGCCGCCCCCCCCCTCCCCCGGCCCCCAGCCCACCCCAAAGCATTAGAGGGTACAACCTGAATGGTGATTGAAAACATACTATATTTTGCATTTCATTATTGTTTATGCATGTGAGTGAGTGTGTGCATGGGGAGGGGGTTAGCAATAAAAATGATGTATTCGTTTGGGTTGAGCATCTGGTGGTGTTAGGAAGAGGGCAGGATGGCAGATGCAGTGCAAACTGTCTTCCATTTCTGTATCATTTTGTACCCCCACCAATCTCAATAAAAAGACTCATTAAAGCATTGGGGCACTTTCTCATATTTTTACCCCAGTATAGTTCATATCCACCAAACATCATAATGCATCATTATAGACATTCTTAGGCAATAAAATGTGAGCAGTGCAAGTTGCTCTCTCTGGTAATAAAGCAACAAGGTAGACATGTTTCATGCATGCAAATATGCATTCCAGACTATTTATGAGGCCCTCGTAGTTATCATGATTTATTTTACATACCAATTAAATTGAGCCGAGAGTGGTAATCAAAAGCATGAATGCCCTGGGCAATGTTGAAGGATGTCACTTTAAGATGCTTTTTTGATTTCTCTCTCCAAGCCAGCACCACGGAATTTGTATTGCTGGTTGTACTGGAAATGATAGCATCTAAAGATGCACTGTAAGCAACTGATAAAAAATTAAAAAGAGGAAAACAAATGTTAGTTGATTTCTAACAAGATATTAACAACCTAGAACTGTTTTCATAGAACTTAAAAATCAAACTCAAATGATGATGATGCCACTCAACACTTAGAAAACTCTTCACTATACAGAGGATAACACAGAAGATGTATCCTGGGGAGAGAGCCAGTTCTGTCCAGACCACCACACTAAGCAAACTAAAAGGGAGGGAAGCGATGGGGTGGGGGGGGAGAAGAGAAAGGGAGAGGGAGAGGGAGAGAGAGAGAGCACACCTCTGCTCAGAGCAGCCAGTGCATAGAGAGGACCATAGGACCTGCCCCACCAGTAGACATGACGTTCCCTCACTGACCCATAGTGTTGTGGGGACAGCACTGGACAACTTGTGTGGAATGTGTACCTGGTCCACCCCATGCACGAGGGGTGAAACCCAAAGTGAGTACAACTGGGCAGCAAGGGTAGCCAAGCGACCAAATCCCCAAGGAATCCTGATAATAGACTTCTGACTTGGAGGACAGGGCTTAGCACCTCATCAGATTTGATTGGAAAACACACATAAGGGTCAGCAGACAGACCTGGAACTATCGGTTTTTACTCCTGTTCTGCTGTGTTTTGTTTGTTTTATTAGGCTGTGTTTTTGTTTCTTTTTCTTTTGCCTTACGTCTATCTACATAAGCTAGGCAGGATGAACATTTCTGAGGAGGAAACTATAGACCAGTAGTTCCAGGGCGACATGGTAGAGGAGGGGGAAGAGAGGAGAAGTGGGGAGGCAACAAACTCAGAGATAAAGGAACAACAAGAGATCTAAAATTGATGGTGGGGATGATGTATAATGCCGGTTGGGGCTTAATCAAGAGCAATGTATCTGAGAGGAAATACTGAGAGTCGAATGGAAGGTAAGCATTATAGTGGGATAGGCAGAAGGTGAAAGAAATAGGAGGCAGAAGCTATTTATAGAGGTATAGCTATAGGCATGTATATATGTCAGTATATTAATTTATAATGAAAGGGAAAGAGGTCAATGTACATATATTTATGTAAGTATTAAGATAGCTGACAGACTTTGGGCCTCTATTCAAGGTCTCCCTTAACATAAGAACACTTGGTTCTGATACCCTGGCACTCTTTGATACTCACCTTCCATACACGATCTCTAAAGACAAAAATGGGTACATAAGCTAATGTGATGAAGAGAGCAGATGGTGCCAGGCTATCAAAAGATTTGGCATCTGGGGTCTTAAAGACTTGATGTCAAACAAGTGGCCATCTAACAAGGAAGCCAATAAGGCCACAGGGAAGATGCACACCTAGCCTGTGTGATCATGAGGTGTCGACGAGATCAGGCAACAGGTATCAAAAGATCCAAAACAAACAACTATATCGATGTGAAACAGGGGGTTTGGAGTGGAGACCCAAAGCCCATCTGTAGATAATTGGACACCCCCCACCCACACACACACACAGAAGTGACATAAGGAAGGGATGATTCAACCAAGGCATAGTTTGGCACAGAGGAATCATATATCAGTCCTCTAGTTCCTGAATATTTCCTCTTCCCCACTACCATGACCCAGTTCTAACTTACAAATCTGGCTAGACCAGAGAATACACATTGGTACAGATAGGAGCTCTTGACACAGAGAATTCAGGAAAGATAAACCCCTCAGGAAGAGTAATGGGCGTAGTGGTATGTATCATGAGGGTAAGGGGATGGCCAGGGAGAGGGAAAGGTGAGAAAAGGGAAACCATCACAAGATTGGATAGAAAGCACCCCCTACCCCCCCACCCTCCACTAAGGGGACAAATAATGAATATGTGAGTGCAGGGAGACAAAGGACAGTGATATGAAATAACAATAACAATATATAATTGATCAAGGATACAGGAGAGTGGGAGGATGGGGGAGGGAGGGGGGAAAAGCGGAGCTTATATCAAGGTTCTCAAGCAGAAAATGTCTTGGAAATACTGATGTAACATATGTACAAATATTCTTGATGCAATTGACTTATGGAATGTTATAGGAGCTGTAAGAGCCCTCAATAAAATGATGGGGAAAGAAAGAAAGAAAACTCTTCACTCATCCTTCCCCACTTCCTTCCAAAATGCCCTACAGTGAGAAGTTACAGCAGATCTTGAACTCAGACTTTGCTCCCACTCTAGAGATGGCTTAAGTTTTTGTTTGTTTGTTTAGTTTTATAATTGGAATATGGGGCAAGAAACATTGTTAATCACAATAGTCATATGTGGCTTTGGATATGTAAGTGAATAATTAGTCAAATTCCTGGTTCTTCCTCTTGGGCCAGGTGCAGGCAAACAAGAGCTTTCCGGCTAGCCATTGTCCTCCCCCAAAAGTTCAGCCCATGGCCCAAACCACAGTTCATTAAAATGCTAATTGCTCTACAAGGTTTGACAGCAGAAGGGCCAGAACTCAGCTCCCCAAGAGTCACAAAAGCAGCTAGAAGCTCAGGTGAAAATGGCTGCTCCTACATTCGCCAGGGCCCGGAGCTAGGTGTTTGGGAGTCTCCTTCCAAGCAAGGGTAAGGGTCCTGTTGCCATTTGCCTGAGGGACATTTCCATTCCTTTCAGATTCACAGGTTCCAACAAGTACATAAATCACCATAGGGGTTTTGTTTTGTTTTGTTAACCAGTTTTTGGTGGTTGGGGATTATGTCAATTAGACACTCCTGGTAGGTAGTTAAAACCTTCAATCAAATCACAGCCTGATGACACGTCCTTCCTTTTGTATAAGAGCGAAGCAAGCAGAGATGATCTCTGTCTTTGCCCAAATGCCTTCCTGCTTACTGGGACTCTGAGAGCAGTCGGCTCTCTGCCATGTTTTCACCAACATTGGATCGACATGACCACACCCACCTTCCTTCATCCCAGATTTCTGTTCTGCATCACCGGCACATGGCCACATGCATCAGGAGAGGAACTTACAGATGAGCATTACACTCATGGACTTGAGTTGGACCAGGCTGGGGTACCTTCTTAATGGAAAGTTGCTCCTTGATATAAAGTTCTTTCTTCAACATAGTTGGGTGTCACTGGATTTGTTTCTCTAGACCACCTGGCCTGACACACAACTCCAAAACACCCTGCCTCTAGAGTTAGATGAAATGTCTCTTTTACATTGTTTCTCAGCCCAATGGTTTGTACACAGCCTAAAGATTTATTTGACCTCATGTCTCACACACAGAGGGATGTTGCTGTTTTGTGTAGCTCAAGAAAAAGTTATTTTAATAGAATAGCTCTCAAACATAGTTTTTAACTGCCTCATATACAATCAAGTATAGCACTCTGGAAGACCATTTTCAATGAAAGTCTAGCATTTCTATACTTGGGGAGCTAAGCACTGACTGTTCTTTATTCCAGATTATTTTCTCAAAGATGTTTTCATACAAATAGCCTTTGAAAAGAGAATAAGAAAAATCATGGATCTGTGCCCTGTTATAACTTAAACTTCATCCTAGAAAATTGGAGTAGTATGCATGTGGTATGGCAACCAGGTCTCTTTATCTGCAGAATTGGGAACAACTGGGGCCAGCTCTAAGAGGCCAGTCAACTATGCCGTTTTGAATGTGTGTGCTCTCCACAGTCCCAGTAATAATCAAATCTCTTGTAACAGGTGCCTGAATGGGCTCACCAAGCTTCTTCTATGATTCCTAGTCCAGAGTTTCAGCCAATAAATACTTTTTCCATCCCAATTATTGTTCATGTACACCCACATTCTGAATTTTTGAGTCTGTCCTAATTGTGTTCCTCTGGCCATAACAGAACTGGTGTGTTAGTCTGGGTACTTTAGAGAAACAAATCCACAGAAACTCATGTATAAGGCAGAGTTTGATATAAAGGTTAAGTGCGCATCAAGAAAACATCCCAACTCAGTGCTGCCCAAGCCCACAAGTCCAACATTAACCCATCAACCCATATGTCCAACACCAATCCACAAAGTCCTCCTCCATCTCATGAAACAGATGCAATGATGCCGACTGCAGGAAGAAAGCCAATTCAGTGAATGTGTAAGCATCTCAGCACTGGTAGGGGTCTCCACATGGCTGCTCTAGCACCCAGGGCTGCATCAGGGTAGGTCCATGTGGCTACTCCTCAGGGATGTCTTGCAGGAAGTGAGCCTTGCCAGCTGAAGCAGGGAACTGGCTAAGGCAGCTGCAGCCTGGTCAGACCATCAGAAAGCAAGAGACCCAAGAACTCCCTGAGCCATTTATCCCTCCCCCTTTCAATTAACCCCACATGTGTTTATCGGCCAGGTTGGCACAATAAACTAACTACCTGAACTGGTTTAAAGCCCTAATTCAAACTCATTCTTACCTTTTACAGGAACATCTGTGTACTTCAAACAAACACTGGTGGTTTTTGTCCTATTTCTTGGACAGAATCCAATATGTTTATATCTCCCCATTTCCTTTCCCTCCCTCTTATTCCAAGGTTTAGCAGTGATTATTACAAGGTCAACTAATGGGAATTGAGAGCTTACTGCAGGAAAGGCATTTTTCTGAGCACTTTACATGTAATTACTCATTATTCCACATTATAACCCCTTGATGTTTGCATTCTAATTATCTCCATTTTAAATATGAGAAAACAAAGGCACATAATCATTACATAAGTTATTCATGCTCAGACACTAATGCTTGACAGAGACAAATTCAGAATATAAGGCCTAAGCCCTTGACTTCTAGAAAAAACCTCTCAAAAGTTCATGCAAACAAATATCACCTGTTAAGTCTTGTTAAAAATGCAGATTATGATGCAGTAGGCCTATGGAGGGACATAGCATTCCAGCTTTCTAACCCCCCAGGGGATGGTATTGACGCTCTTCTAGGACCACACTTCAAGACGCAAAGCGCCAAAATATACTTTTTATAGTGTTGACAGCATTTTATACTCCATAGAATTAATCAGTAGCTCATAAAATTTGCAAGGTCAAACATTTCTTTGGAAAGCCCCTCCATCAAAACGATGTACAT